CAAAATGATATAATAAATGATCTGTGGAGTATTTTGAGCTGAAACTTCACAGACACATTCTGGGGACACCAGGGACTTATATTACATATTGTAAAAAGGGGCATAATATGTCTCCTTTAAGTTAGCTTGTGTACTACCTCACACTTTAAACTTGGCAATACTGTTAGCCCAAACTGCGTTTTATGTTCCTCATTTTTAAGTCGCTTTGAATAACATAGTCTGCTAAATTAATACTTATGACTGGTTTTGTGGTCCAGGGTCACAAATTTTACAAATAAATTTACTAATAAATTACTATTTGTTGTAAATAATTATATATTTAGAATTTTTAAGTATATAATCAAATGTATAGCTAAATTATGCTTTATGACTATATATGTATTCGGAATGTGCAATTATACATTCAGGATCTATAACTAGATTGGTCGGATTTCTGTCATTCTGCTAGTATGAATACATTTCTGGGCCCTTCAATCCCTGCCGGTACGAGACTCGAACCTGCAACCTTTGGGTTACGAGTCCAACTCTCTAACCATTAGGCCACGACTTCCCCAATCTATAACTAGATTGGTCGGGTTTCTGTCATTCTGCTAGTATGAATACATTTCTGGGCCCTTCAAAATATGTGATGGTGCACATAATACCAGAGAACTGTGTCATTCATAATAAGCATTTCTTATTGTTTATCGTAGAGCAACACCTGTTACACTCTCCTCAGGCCGGAATGACATTTGAACAAATTGTAAAGTGTATACTGTAGTTAGAATTTGAATTTATTTAATTTATTTATTGCCCATACTGCAAAAAATATATATTTTCAAATATATCATTTATTCAGGAGACCCATTCACCGGTAAAAACAGTCAATCAGCAAAGCAGATTATGTCTTCATTAAACTAGAAAAGCAAGTCTAAGCAATACTTGTACTAGGCAGACTATTTGACTATCAGTTGCTTGGGTTTTTTGCACACATACAGTACAAAAACCATGGTCTGTGGGTCACACTTAGCCCTGAATACTGCTCCAAATCAGTCATTCAGGATTATGAGGGTTTGCTTGGGTTAAGTGGACTGTGCTTTGGCTTTTATCAGACATGGGAAAGTCATACACTCGATAGCACTGGAAGTGTGGATATTTGGGCAGGGCAAATCTTGTAGTTCTATAGTTGCAAAATAAGGTGGATAATATTTTACAATTTATGAGTTGATTGACTTTTATTTTATATCGGACTTTTATTTTGACGCCTGGCGCGCAGGAAATGCGTCATCGCTTCCTGCGGTAAAGGGATTTCCGTCAACAACACAAATAAATGTGATCAAAACATCAACGAGGAGCGGTAACTAGTTATTCGTGATCTTTTAAACTCGCTGGGAAGAGTAAAATACATCCAGATAAAGCTGTTTTCGGTATTCACCTCTGTACGAGAAGTGTGACACGTAAGACAGAACGCTGTTATTGTTATTAACGCTTTGAAGATCTTGTTTATGAACTAATTTGTTTAGCATGTACAATAACACTTGGTATTTCTGTTAATTCAGAGTGATTTATTTCACTGTGAGCACACAACAGTTTTCAGGAGACGCCTTTTCTTTTCAAGAATGATAATATATACTGTGGTACTGAATAATGACTTGTTTTTTTTATGTACCATGGTTTTAATGCAACTGATAGGACTCAACTTGCAGGAAGAGTCTGTTTTAAAACATAATAATAATACCATTTTTAAGTGTCACTGGATTTTATAAATGTAGACGCAGCGTCCTCTGAATCCTTTAACAGCACTGACTGACAGATCTGTCTGTAGAGAAGTCATTCAGACATGGCTATTATCTGCTGAATATGTGGCATGATTAACCGGCTGGGATTTGTCTTTATGCAGGTTACCGACACAAGCCGGTTTGTTTCAGTGCAGGATGAACGCTCAGCGGGTGCGCAGGGGCTTCAGCGTCCAGCAGTCTGACCTGATGTGTAAGAGAGGGTGCGGTTTCTACGGCAACGCCGTCTGGCAGGGCCTCTGCTCCAAATGCTGGCATCAGGAGAACCAGTGCACCTGAGCCAAGCAGATCGAGGACGACAGAGCGCTGGCCGAGAGGTGAGAGACTGGACGATGAATGATGGTTTCACTCTCCTGTGGTCAGCTGCTGTAGTGCTATGTGTCTGTGTCTCTGTCAGGTTACAGAGAGAGGAGGAAGCTGTGTACGCCAGCAGCCGTGAGGAGGCGCGTTCACGACCAGAATCCTCCAGAACACACACTGTGCCCATAGTGAAGAGGCTTTTCACCTCCGCTCCCAAAACACCTGCAAGGACAGGTACGACCATGAGTTTACAGTGCGTTACACATAGGGTTCATTTGGTCATGGAAACCTGAACATAGAATAAAATCGTAAAAATGCATTAAAATTTCCATTGTGAATATATATATATATATAGTTAGTTAGTTGTGAGTGCAATCCCTAACAGGGTCTTAAAAAGTCTTAATTCGCCCTTCCAAAAGTGTAAGACCATAAAAGGGTCTTAAATCAGAGCAGAAAGTCTTAAATCCATACAGTCATGGCATTAAATATTGCATGCACTGCAAAAAATAATCTTCTTCTGCGTTATTGTCTCGTTTCCATATACAGATATCTAAACATCTTTACATAGATGCAAACACGAAATCTTGTTTCCTGAGAAACTGAACAAAAGTAAGTGAGTCTATGCATGAAGCAAGGACAACTATCTATCATTGGGAATGAAAACTTGTTTTCACTTTGAATTAAGTAGTTTTTCTGAGGCAGATATTTGTACATGTTTTAATCATAAACTCACTTCATTTTGACCAGTTTCTCAGAAAACAAGGCTCCTTATGTTATTTCGCTTCTCAAGTAAATGCATCTTGATTTAAGAATCTTAAAAGACATTTTAGAAAACAATCCACAAATGCTGAGAACGAATGTTACAGTGTGATCACAAGGTACAATAAAAGTTCCATATTCTAGTGGTTTGAAGCAGAGGTAATCATTTTTTTTAATTAATTAAAAAGTAATGGAGATTGTATTTTAAAACTTTGCTGTGTTGTTGCTAATACAATTTATTGTTTGCTCCCAAGGCGTTTACATTTAGAGAGCATATTGACGTATTGTGTTCTATTCAGTATATTCCTTAAATTTTCTTTACTTGGTCTTAAAAAGGTTTATATTGAACTTCAAATCCTGCAGAAACTCTGCCTAAATATCCTTGTACAGTAATCATGAACAACTGGAATAAATATTCAAACAGACAATAATTTGCAATTGTCACTCAGTTTGGTTTTCATTTTTATAATTGAATTGATTTCCTTTAAATTGGCAGAAAATACCTTCCATAAGTTTGTAGAGGTCATGTTTACAGTAATGCACTTGCAGTGGAAGTATACAGGGCCAATTCTTTCTTTCTTTAGTAAGAATAGCAAATTGTGAGACCCACAATATCGGATGTGTGTAGAGTTCAGTGAAATGCAGCATCAGCAAGTTTTAGTCTTTTCTGGGCACAGTGCAGTAGCATTGCACACACTCATGCCATTAAGCTCAACCTCAGAAAAAAACGAGAATTTCAGCAATTCCAGAGCTTTCAGTCATGTGACGGCGTTTGTACATCTCGCTCGTGTTCTCGCACAGATGCAGGAGCTCCAGAGACAGCCGTGAGCACCTCGCTCAGCCGACAGCCCAGTGCAGAGCGTGATCATGTGACACAGCGCTTCATTGACTTGCTGAAGCCCTTCCAGAGACCTGGATATGACATTTTTAAACAGTGCCATGCCTTCGTTGAAAATATTGCACACAAAAAGGTGAAACACAAGTATGCTGATATTTTCCAGCATCCATGCTTCGGAAGCAATAAAAGCTGAA